CTACAGTGTCATGACTTTCAGGGGCTGTGGGGTAGCCTAGTGGTTAAAGCGTTGGCTCGTCACGCCGAAGACCCGGGTTCGATTCCCCACATGGGCACAATGTGTTAAGCCCATTTCTGGTGTCCCCCGCCGTGATGTTGCTGGAATATTGCTAAAAGCGGCGTAAAACTAAACTCAGTCAGTCAGTCAGTCAGTCATGACTTTCAGCTTTTTGCGAGTCAGTCAAGGTCTAATACCACTGTGACAGAGGCATTAACATTGTGACGTTATATGCCGATGGCAGTCAAATTGAGCCAAAATGACAAATATAGTACATTATAAAAATCTTATAAATTCAAACTTCCTTTGAAAGTTTTCGTACCAAGTGAGTGCCAAGTGTATCACCAACTGGTACAAATACGTTGACATAATTCCGACCACAGCTAAGACCGAGGACAAAGACGACAATGACCCCCCCCCCCTTGCTGAGCTGTGGAAATTGATGCAGCAGTTACCACGAATTGACGTCGACGAAGTCCCAACTGCTGAACAGTACGTGGATGAAGTTACTGTCGTGGAAACCGACAGCTCGTGAACATGCCGACAGCTTGCTGATGGCGACGAAGGTTCGGTGAATTAAGTAATAGGCTAAGTGAAAAAACTTGAAGAAATAAAACCAAGGAAGCAAACATCTATGACAGACTTTTTGAAGAATAATGTGCGACATAGGAAATGTAATGGTCTGTAAATATGGAATCTTTTATCTTTTTGTTTTGACGATCAGGAAATATAAATCGTCACTGATTCCCCTGCCCTGTGCATAATTTGTATATTGAAACTGGGAGATACCAAGAAATTGAAATTCATCGGTACGTTTTTACTGCAAACAGACTATAAATCAGTTCTCATCACATGCTCTCTGTGCGAGGACCGTATGCAAACAACTGAAGAGACAGACATGTTACAGCTGGGATTGGATGAAATAGTGTAAGATGTTTAAGTTTTATGCTTTATAAGCACATCCATCAAGTAAATAAAACTAACCATAATCCTATTCTTTTTATATTCGGGGCGCATCTAGTTTTGCAGGGATGATGCGGCCGCTGTTTCCAACACACCTACACGCACATTCGACCACGGCAGCCTTATATCTATGGTAAAAAAACATTAAAAACGCAATTTGACATTCATACTTTCTTTACGTACAATAATTTCAACATATATAAATCTGGCAGATATGTTTTAAGTGAACATCTGTGAATAATTTTAGTTGGAAATGTCCAGTCAACAACAACCTCAGTGACGCAACAACGACATCACACAAAGGAGGGGTCAGTTGCAGTCCATATCATGTGTGTCCATCGTGCGCTGCAAGACATGCTCGCAGTCTTGGGGCTTTGAAAGACACACATTTCTCAGGAACAGCTGTTGGATGGTCTGCAGCCTCTGATGTTCTGTGGTCTGATCCTGACACCACCCCCTCCAAAACGACCATGTTCAAGGACACAGTTAGGCGCAAGTCTTTCTCCTTTACGTCGATAAATCTGTTGACGTCCATCTGAAAAAAAATAAGTTAAACCTGGATTTATCTGAAAAAAAGGACATCTGGCTATGTCCTGTTGCCAAGATTGGCCCCATTTGCTGCCTATCGCTATCTGGCAAGTCTGTGGCGATGCAATAAGGTTGGACCACGGTACGGGTGACGACACCAGAAGTTGAAGACAGCAAGGCGTCCTTGCACCTTTTGGGCGCTGAAATGACGTTGACGTGTCCCAATTGTCCTCCTTGCCTAATATTCAGTTGTGTGGAACCGATTTCGCAAGTGTGAAACTCGGATATTGCGGTTTTGTCGAGCTGTTATCACAGCTGGTGCACCAGGTCGCGGACCATCAGCAACACTTCAGGTAGCCCGAAAACGTTGTCTGAGTCGACTTACAGTGGATGGATGCACATTAAAAGTGCCTGGCAATCATCACATCTGAAGCCACAGGTACTTATGTTCCAACCTCATTGATTTTCATATTTCATATAAACTAGATTGTTCTCGTCAAGATATGGCGGCAATAATGCCGATGGGACGTTAAAATTAGACTCTATCCACCACCAAGGGCTGAGGCTCTGCTTGGGAGCTCTTAGGACCTCTCGGTAGATCACATCATACGATTGTTAGCGAAACTATTTTCTCGGCGGAGAGTTTGGCGGTTACCGTGGCAGCGGGTAATATTTCTTCCAGTTCTCGCCCTCCTCAGAAGGGGGAACACGGAAACTTGTTAGAGCGTCACTGATTAGTGGAATTAAAGTTAAACATGGTTTCATACATGAAGGTAAGGTAATGGGGTGAACAGTAATATGTACTGACATATTGTAAACATACATGTGTGATTAGATGACTTATGAAGCACATAAAGACATTCGATCTGTTCTCCAGCGTGAGCGCTCATCTGATACTGAACTACCTGAGGGAAGTTGATCTGTATCATAAATTGTAATTGTGTAATGTCACTAACGAATTTACCTGCTTTTCAATTTAGTGCTATGACATTCTCTGTTCTAAAAAGACAATGTAACGAATGTGTGTCTTTGAAATGAAACCACTCTGTACTTACAATGTATATTAATGCAGACTTGTTCTCGTCACTATATGGCTGGATATAGCTGGAATATTGCTGAGTGCGGCGTAAAACTAAACTCACTCACTCACTATATGGCTGGAATAATGCCGATGTGACGTAAAGCCCAACTCAACTCAACTCAACTCAACAATAAGACATGCATTTGTAAGTGAAAATGGTCTAAATGCAATAGTAGTAACACAAAGAATGCCACCAAAAACCGTTAGATACCTACTCGAATTATGGAAAGTACCTCATGCAAACAATGTGGGACACCCAAGTAGGAAGAAATAAATGTCATGAATTGAAACCAACAATTGGTTATACCTACTTGGGTTGTCAGTCAAGACGTGATGAGGTGATTTTGCGACGATGTCGTTTTGGCCATAGTCGGTTTACTATCTGCTGAAAACAGATGGGGATGGACCCCCCATGTGTGTCTCTTGCAATGAAGTGTTCACCATCAAGCATATTCTGCTTGACTGTGTGGACCTTTCGGCTGCAAGGGATTCACATTATAATACGCTAAATCTAAAATATATATTTTCCCGCGTGAGCGGACATCTCGTTGTTAACTACCTGAGGGAAGTTGACCTGTATCATAAATTGTAACTTTGTAAAGAGAATAACGAATTGCTTGCTTTTGTATTTAGTACTATGACATTTTCTGTTTTTAAATAAAAATGTAATGTATATATGTGTATATTTTGCTGAAATATAACCCTTTTGGACCTTGGACTTAAAATGGTAATGTATGAAAACTTGATCTCGTGACTATATGACTGGAATAATGCCGATGTGACGTAAAGCCCAACACAACTCAACTCTTACTACTTAAAGTACCTTTGCTACGTGCATGGACCCAAGCTAGATTTACATCATCCCTTCAGCCGCTGGCGGTTGTAGGAAAATTCAGCCCGGTAAAAATCACAAAAAAATTGTACTTTTTTTTTTTTTAATAACTCCTCGTAAGTATGAATTTACTTTGAAAGTTTTGGACCTTAAGTACACAATACATTTTAGTGCATTTTAGATGTACACACGTCAGAAGGAAAGATGTCACAGTCCTGATGTGTCGCGGTGTGTGCCGTGTCAGTTTCAGCATCGCTCCAAATTACGGCGGACGACATCCTGATAGTGCAGGGGCCTTAGCCAGGTTCTAAAACTTGGATAGACTGTACACAGGACGCTGCGATACCGATGTGGATTAATCGGAAAGTGATTAATAAAATATTACTAACGTTATGTGGGAGCTATGTTGACACTTTACATTGTAAGGTATTTGTATTGCATGTGAATAATAAAATATTACTAAGGTTATGTGTGGAGCTCTGGTCACCCATTACATTGTAAGGTATTTGTATCGCATGTGATTAATAAAATATTAATAACGTTATGTGGGGAGCTCTGTTGACACTTTACATTGTAAGGTATTTGTATCGCATGTGATAAATAAAGTATTAATAACGTTATGTGGGGAGCTCTGTTGACCCATTACATTATAAGGTATTTGTATCGCATGTGATATATAAAATATTAGTAACATTGTATGGAGAGCTCTGTTGACCCAATAAATTGTAATTCATCGACTATTGCATATTAGTGTTCAGATTTCACAGAAAAGAGTTAGGTATTCTTGTATTTTATAAAGTCGGAAAAATAATTATATCTTAAGAAGATTCTTGTATATGAATAAACCTCAGACTACTGTCAGATTATGAAATGGTCGGTTCCTTACCGCTGCGTCTATTATAACTATAAATAGCGTTTCATAATGCATACGATATATTCGTTCTTGTAACTTATTTAACGTATTAAGTTACAAGATTGCGAGAAAAGCAAAATTTATGGATATCAACTTTCATATCGCGAGTAACACGATGTTTCGGTGTGTATGTTTACTCCTTCCTGAAGATGGAGAAAGCATACAATCAGAAACGTTGTGTTATTCACAAAGAACAAGTTGACATCTATAAATCTTGCTTTTCTTAGGCATTCGAATTCTAAATGTCATGGAAAGATTTACATGTTCATACTTACTCACTCGTTCATTCACACAACTTTCCTTTAGAAATGAAATAATTCTAGACTACTATAACAAAGTCTGAAATCATATATTACATTATTATATTTATTTTACATTAACGAGAGTATAAGTTTTTACATCTGAGCACTTGTCTTGGGAGAATCCATCTGAAAGAATAACAATGAAATTATTAAACATATCTTGATATTTTCGGCAGCATTAGTTGAACATGAAAATGGTTTTACTAAGTGACAGTTCATTGAATTTGCAATATATTTATTGTGAGACAATAGTTGTAAACAGACTAGCGGTTTTATGTGAATGTAACTTATTTCATAATGAGCAGTACAGAATGTTTACATTAACAAACCTTGTTGTCATTTGTTTGATGTGTTTTCAATTGCTCTCTGTTTCCTCTTCCTCCTCCTCCTCCTGGGAACTGAAACAAAATTGTACGATGATTATGAAGAAAATTTACTGTGAAGAATAATAAATACATACTTATGTCATAGGCACATTGTATGTATTAAATGGCCAAACTTTTAGCATATGATTTGAAAAGTATAGGAACCTAATATATAACTCTGTCCTATTTATCCGTTTACAAATTAACTATATCTATCAGAATCATGGTAATTGCGTGTAATTCCTGCAATAAAAACCAATACAAATACAAATTTTATACTCACATGGACATCACAGAATCTCCTTTGACAATGCATTTGATCACCCTACATGGAATCGTCTCGCTTGGGAAAGCCTTGTTGATAATATGTCTGTCGCAATGATATACAGATCCATTGATGACAATCATTGTGCTTCGCTGTAATGAGAAAATCTATACATTATATAGAGAATTCAATTTCAATTCAATTTGCGCTTTTGCTTATTAGGGTGTGTGTGGGTGGGGGTTGGGGGTGGATGGGTGGCAGATAAAAGGTAACTACATGGTATTCATCGATGATGTGAATATGAACTTAATCATTTACTTACTGGCCAAATCCAATTGCATCTACCTCTCCTTCTATCGTCTCCATTTCTTGTTCGACTACCTACAAGAGAATATGATGAGTCTAGAAATGAGGGTTATTTCATCACACAATTGTTTTGTGTTTTCAAAATGTTACAATATACCTCTTTAAGCATATGTTACAATAGAGCTTTTAAGATATATTTCCTGAATGACGCAGATGGTAAAAATTAAGTAAATTGTTTTTAAGTAATGAGTGTTCATAGATGTCATTTACTAGGGTATTAAAAAATCATCTGTTGCTCACCTCAACCGTTGTCAAATTTGTTGAGTTCAAATCTTTTTAAATTTGTACTCTTTCGCACCAACATAAGAAATCTGAACCAGCTGGTTCATTGGGGTATCCAAAAATGATATTCACGACCATGTTGTGGTTTTCCTCTGCGAGTGTGACTGTCTTCAAATCAGTCTCATATGCCCGTGACACCTTGACAGAAAGGAATACATTAATTAAATGACACAAATGTGAACTTATATCTAAATTGTTATTTTGTAAACGAAAATATTTTTCTTGTTTTGTTTAGTTTGCAATGTTAAATCTGTTACTGTTTTGAGAGAAATTATCAAATAACGTAAAATTGATTAAAATTATGTGATTCACTAAAAATACTAACTTGTTCCACTTTCCCAACGACAGTGATTTTGTGCCCTAAGGGCGTGCCCAGAGCTTCTTTTACGGTTTTCACTGAAGGGTTTCTAAAAGCCTCAATCAGACCTTCATTGTAGGCAAATGGCCTGCATGAAAGAATCTGTAAGAAAGCAAATATAGAGAAATCATCACACATGAGTATATTACATACTAAAATGAAATATTATTTATAGTAACAATTAATTTGGCTTTAAGTATTGTGGACTGCATATACGATATGATGGTATGGCAGTTTAAATGATGGGATTATACAACGTACATGTAGTTTTCTTTTGCACAAAAAGTGAATTTAAGGGGTTTTTTTAAGTTTGATATTTATTCTAAGAATCATTTAACATTTACAAGTATTTCATATTCGCTTCCCCATTCTTACCCAAAGAAAAGTCTATTATTTACTTTCGAATTGTTATACAGTCTCAATACGCCATCCTCTTTCAGAATCACATCTGTGGCCATGTGATACCCTGGCTTCATTTCCCCAAAATCCATGGGCATCCTTTGACTTTAAAATGACTTCAGTTCCTTTGAATAAGCCAAACTTGCTCGCTCCTCATTTCGATGATGTCAGAAAAATGGAAGAATGCAACGTTCTGCGTACATTGTTTCTATAACAAATAGAAACAAAAACATTAATTACTGTGTTGGTAAATTGTATTATTGACACGGAATGTTAATGTTAATGCAAACCTAATTACTAAGTAGATAATGCTTATAGTTTGTATCAAAATACCACATATATCCAGACATAAGCAGTAATATGATATCACAACAGCAGTTCAATTTTGAAATGATTTGAAGAATGGCATGCCTTAGGGAGGGTTGGGGGGTCCTTTTTGGTGATGTTGATGCCATCGTCGAAACGCTGGAGAGGTTTCAATAGTCTTCGTAGTTACAGATGAATGGTACAGATATGACGACGAATTTGATGATTTTACGTCGGCTTCTGGTGGGAGCCAATTTCGCCGACAGCTTAATGTTAATGTAATAGCCATCAAAGTGTCTTGTGGAAGTCACGATAACACAGGCTTGGGTGTGAGAACTGTATATTTGCTGATGACCAAACTGATGACAAACTGACACCCTGTCACAAGGAATGAGATAATAAGAATACAGTTCATCTCACAATCTGACATATAAAAGCAACAATTTCTACATAATCATAAGTGATACAGACATCACTACTTTATATAAGCTTGACATATTGCGGGGAAAGAGTTCCGTGCTCATCTGATAGTGAACTACCTGAGGGAAGTTGATCTGTATCATAAATTGTAACTGCGAAATGTAACAACCATAAATTGTAACTATGAAATGTCACAAACAAATTGCCTGCCTTTAAATTTGATGCTATGACTTTCTCTGCTTTTTAATGACAATGTAATCAATATATGTCTTTGAAATAAAACTCATTCCGAGTATGTACTTACAATGTTTACTAATGCAAACTTGTTCTCGTCACTTTATGGCTGGAATAATGCCGATGAGACGTAAAGCCCAACTCAACTCAACTCAAATGTCCATCGCAACCCATGTGCTTGCCATAAAAAGCGACTATCTTGTCGTAAGAGGCGACTAACGGGATCGGGTGGTCACATGTCATCGGTTCCAAATTGCGCAGATCGATGCTCATGCTGTTGATCGCTGGATTGTCTGGTCCAGACTCGATTATTTACAGACCGCCGCCATATAGATGGACTATTGCTGAGTGCGGCGTGAAACTAAACTCACTCACTCACTCAAATGTCCGTCCGTGTGATAACAATTTTATTTAACGAGTTAATGATTTTGGTATCAAACGAGCAAAATCAAAATTGTATACTAAATCTTTCACGAGTTTAGAGAAGCTGGTATTTCTCGGAAGCGAGTTGAGTATTCTGTTTATTATGTTTCTCAAACATAAATTGATAGAAACTGCCTACAGTGTCATGACTTTCAGCTTTTCGCGAGTCAATCAAGGTCTGATACCACTGTAAGTAAGTCGGAGCGACGGTACTGCACGGACTTGAAACTGACACTGGGAGAGCAGCTGCTTTGCTCTTTATTGCGAATGCCTAGAGGGGTCAAAATGTTTTTTTGATTTTTCATTTTTTAAATTGATAATAACCACTTTTGTTCTAGTAGTTATCACTTTCTTTGTTGTGAATACCACCTTTTTTTCTGGCAAATACCAACTTCACGTGGTTGAAACTGACACGGCTCACTCCGCGACACACCTGGACTGTGACATCTCTGCTCCTGACGTATACCGATGCATGTTCCCGCATTATCTCTATTAGCAATACTCTGACCTTGAAATCTGGGTTTTTGAAATTGACGCCTGTTGTTCTACGTCACACACTACAATACTGAAACTCCATGGCGGATAAATATATGTATTTAAACTTATCGGGATGTTTTTTTCAAATTGACAAATCCTCCTGAGAGGGTATGTAAGTCCCAAAACATTCGAAGTAAATTAAAACGTTCCTCTTTTTTAATCGTAGAATACCTGTTCTTTTAATGTATGGCTAGATATGCTAAATTGCTACCGGCTGAAGGGATGGTGTAAATCCAGATGGGGTCAATGCAGGAAGCAAATGTACTGTAAGTCCCTATTGTCCCTAGTATGGTGATCTACCTTCAGTTGTTGGCAATCTGTAGCCCGTTTTTATATTGTATTGTCATTTGAAAGTAACATATTTTAGATTAAATTACTTGTTTTAAATTTTTCCCTGTGATAATCTAGTTGTTTTACTGTCCTTCGCCGACCGGTGTTTTATAATGTAATTGTGTTTATAACTTTTTAAGTCACAATATGGCTGAAATATTGCCGATGTGACTATAAATTTTAACTCACTCACTCACTTACTTATTAACAAATCACAATGACTTTGTAAATGATGTTGTCTTTAAATTTTTGTATCATAACTATTCAAACTAGGGCCAACTTTATGACAAACGTGCAATACCTACAAATCAGAGTGTGTTTTTATTTCTTTGAATAGTGGCCAGTACACCTTAGTGGTTGACAGAACTTGCACACAAAAGTCAAAGCTATGATACTGGCCCAACACTGCATGAAACATTCTAGGTAGCTCTTATTAACATTCCTAAAGTCCATACAAAAATAAATCACCCCCGGACCAGACAATCCAGTGATTGACAGTACAACGCCCCATGCCTCGAGGGTGAAAACAGACTGTCAAACCCTGGCCCCATCCGCTTAGCTGCCTCTTCCGACTGCCGTGGGTTGATGGGATGAATTATTACCCCGTAGCAAGCCATGGATGAAACTTCGTAACTTCCTGAACACAAATAACCATTGCCAATAAATAGTTATCAATTTATCCTTAAAACAATTATTCAACAAAAAATATTAGTCGGTTGGTATGCCTGCACATATATTCACATGGTCATACTCATAGGTAGGTGATCAACGCCATGAAAATCCCATGCTTGTCGTGAGAGGCTACTAACGGGATCGGGTGGTCAGTCTCGCTCACTTGATGGACACATGTCATCGTATCCCAGTTGCGTTGATGAAAGCTCATGTTGTTGATCACTGGATTGCCTGGTCCAGACTGGATTGTTTACAGATCGCTGCCATTCAGTTGGATTATTGCGGAGGTAAACAAAAACTCACCAACCCTGAAAACCGATCCCACGAATAAGGATTCTAAAGACAATATAATATTTATAGAGGCGTTTCAGGCAGTTGTCCTCCTTGCGATATCAGCAGCTGTTTGGAACCGATTGCGCAAGTGTGAAACTCGGATATTGCGAGCTGTCGTCATAGGTGATGCACCAGGTCGCGGACGATCAGCAACACTTCCAAGGACCCGAAAACGTTGTCTGAGTCGACCAAAAGTGGATGGATGCCCGTCAATCATCACATCTGAAGCAGCTTGGCTGACCATACCGATAGCCTGATTCCTTTCGTCTTGTGGTCAAGCGTGGCATTTTCTCAACGTGATTCAGTTTCACAATTCCTTGTACTTTTCGAGGGCCTGGGTGTAGGTAATGCACGTGCACAACGTTTCCTTAAGCATCCAAGTTCATGTGAGAGGAATGCTCTGGGAGCGAGTGAGTGAGTTAAAATTGATCGTCACATCGGAAATATTTCAGCCATATCGTGACGAGAATAATTAATGTTATACATAGTAAGTAACCAGATCATCACAGATTAAAATTTAAAACTAGTAATTAACTCTAAAACAGTTTAACTATAGATGACAATACTATATAAAAACAGGCTAGGGACCATACTAGGGACCATGGGAATACTCTGGGACTCGGAACTCGAAATGGGTCAGAATAACAGCCCTTTATCTTCTTCTATATTTTTCTTCTGTATCGCAGAAAAAAAGTCTTCAATAGAACTTTTTGTACGTTCCAGGACAACAACTACTAATTGCGTTTTTGATGGCTTTCAGTATATGTATTATAAATTTAGAACTAGTTTTAGTCACGATATGGCTGACTGACTGAGTTTGGTTTTACGCCGCTTTTAGCAATATTCCAGGAACATCACGGCGGGGGACACCAGAAATGGGCTTTTCACACAATGTACTCATGTGGGGATTCTAACCCGGGTCTTCGGCGTGACGAGCCAACGCTTTAACCACTAGGCTACCCCACCGCCCCGATATGGCTGAAATATTGCTCATGTGACAACTCACTCACTCACGAATCACTTTCCATTTAAATATACTAACTGAAAACCTCCTGATAAAGAACTCATCGAGAGACGTTTTTACAAAACCAAACGGTATGACATAAATAAAGCAAAAAAACAGTAAATATTATCAACAGAAACTATGTCTAGGAACTGACCCATTTATTGCAATCAACACCAGGTCACGACGACCCAGCACGTGCAGTCAGTGAGTTTGCCACTGGGGTAGCGCGTCTCCTGAGTGACGCAGCACGGGCAGCGTACGGTGTGAGACGCTCGCCTCCACGAGTGTCGGAACGAGATCGCAGTGATAAGCCTTATTTTGGAAAATAATGTCGATTAAACGTAAACTTATCGGCCATTTCGTGACGAAAACAATTTTAAAGAGTAGAACCTGTCGACGATGGACAGTAAAAATACTACAGTATCACAGATGTGAATATAAAGCTAGCATGTGAAACAGTTTGTCCCTATTTTTTTATTTTGTGTTGTCCTCTATAGTTAAAATGTTTTATATTTAATTACTAGTTTTACATTTACATCTGTGATATTTTAGTTGTTTTACTGTCCTTTGTCGACAGCTATTTAAATTGAGTACCTTGTTTTCATCGCTATATGGCTGTAATATTGCCAATGCGATGTAAAATTTTAACTCACTCACTCACTAAAACAGTTTAATGAAAGAAGACAATACAGAATTAAACACGGGCTGTAGATCACCAACAACTGCAAGTAGATCACCGTACTAGGAACCATGGGCCAATATAAGACATGTTTGAATAAACATGTAAATAAGTATAGGGAAAGAAAACTAAATCTGACCGAATAACCACAAACTTTTGCTGGACAATGTAAAACAATTTAATGTCAAGAATGAAAGTTGATGGGCGAAACGGCAAGTTTTTTTTTAAGAATACAAGGTTGTATTCAATCATCGCTGGTAAGTTAATTACCCAATGCTCTTTGTCAGCATCGTCACCACGACCATAACAAATAATATACGGCAGTAAAGCATCGCCTAACTCATTCTAATTCATAGTCTAATTGAATAATCAGTTTGCAATTGAGGTTTTTCTTGAAAATGGACCCGTGAAGATCCGTAGAATAGGTCTTCAGCAACCCATGTGCTTGCCATAACAAGGCGACTATCTTGTCGTAAGAGGCGACTAACGGGATCGGGTGGTCAGTTTCGCTGACTTGGTTGACAAATGTCATCGGTTCCCAATTGCGCAGATCGATGCTCATGCTGTTGATCACTGGATTGTCTGGTCCAGACTCGATTATTTACAGACCGCCGCCATATAGCTGGAATATTGCTGAGTGCGGCGTAAAACTAAACTCACTCACTCACTCTTTGAAAATGTTTAGGAAGACTTCCATTCATTTAGTTGAAAATATAAATTGTTTACATTATCAGATTACTTCTCCTCATATATTGTCTGGTGTTGGCGATCTGTAGCTTGTTTTTATATTGTATTGTCCAAATAGTGCTATCAGTTTTAACTTTCCATACTAGTTTTAGTTGTAATTGTGATATTCTAGTTGTTTTACTGCCCTTCGTCGACAGGTTTTTATAATATACATATATTTTATTTCAATATCAAATGTTCTCGTCACGATATTGCTGAAATATTGCCGATGTGACGTTAAATATTAACTCACTCCTCATATATTGTATGAATGCTGTATGTTCACATGCCGAGTTAAAGCAGTGAAGTGAGCCTTTCTAGTGATTATTTTAACAAATACTTGAATCACTGAAGACAATATATCTTCCATATAAGCATTTATATATATTTATATATTTAAGAATGTGTCCTTTCTCAGGATGGGAATGTAACCGAAGCAAATTTCAAGAAAGAGTTAGGAACCTTTCTGAAGTCTGCACCTGACCCTCAGGGTGGGAATGGCAGAACGATGAGGAGCTAATAATTGTGGGTTTGAAAGTGGTGGGGTGAATGTCAGTTTAATGCTACATGCAGATGATCAATTGGTGGCGTGAATGTCAGTTTAATGCTACATGCAGATGATAAATTGGTGGCGTGAATTTCAGTTTAATGCTACATGCAGATGATAAATTGGTGGCGTGAATGTCATTTTAATGCTACATGCAGATGGTAAATTGGTGGCGTGAATGTCAGTTTAATGCTACATGCAGATGGTACATTGGTGGGGTGAATGTCAGTTTAATGCTACATGCAGATGATACTGTATTATCATCACCAACAGAGATCACCTACAGTGAGTAAGTGAGTGAGTTAAAATGCTGTAAATTGTAAAAACCTGTTAACGAAGGATAGTAGAATAACTAGATTATCACAGATTCGAATTGAAAACTAGTAATTAGATCTAAAACAGTTTAACTATAGATGACACTACTAGGTATAAACAGGCTATATATCGCCAACAACTGAAGATAGATCACCACACTAGGGACCATGAATTGCATTGTGTTTATTCAGGGGTCTATCTAATAGCTGAAATTCAGCAAAATGTCTTCTGGGGCAATTTCCACCTTTTCAAGATAGCAATACAATAAATAGATTTTCTTAATTTGGAATACTCTTTCCTTCTCACTGAATTATATCTAACTGACAATAAACTGAAATGAACACTATATTGAATGCGAAAAGTATTTTATGAGATAAATATTTTTGCCGTAATTTTCTGTTTAGTTGTTTATTGCAGGTAGCTTTTTGGGTATTTTAATTGGATGCAGGAGTTTAGTGCTCCCTTTAGTGTAGTTTAAGGTTGAAATTCGAGGTTATTTACAGTAATTCGGAATACGTACTGTGACCTTGGTTGAACTTTGACGTGTTTACGTTAGATATACGTCGGATATCTACGTCTAAAACACTTCCATATACAACCTTTATTCAACGTTGATAATACGTCTTCAACGTTGATTCCACGTCAGATATCTACGTCTAAAAAACTTTCATATACAAAACTTTCTATATATGTTCAACCTAGTTTCGACGTTGATGACCAACCTATTCTCAACGTTGAAACGACGTTGATGTGCCCGCTGGCTGGCAGGCGCATTGCTAAGGTATGGTAGATGAAGTGTAAGTGTGAGAGTAGAACATGGCAGGGGAAGAGGGATATGCATGAGCGTCTTATTTGTTTCTGTGGCAGGGTGTATGATGCACGGACGTCATGAGTGTCAAGATCAAAGGTTCTGTCGTCTTGTATCTTCCAGTGTCATGTCAGTTTCAACCACGTGAAATCCGAGTGGTACCGTCGCTCCGACTTACGGCGGACGACAAGCTGATGGTGAAGCGGCCTTAGCCAGGTTATAAAACTTGGACAGACTGTACACAGGTCTGGCTGCTGCTGAGACCGATCTGGGTTGGATTGTTTGGCAATCAGTACAGTACAAGAAATAAGCACACAACAGCTGTCCTCTTAAACGGTTTTTGTGAAGTGAACTTTCAAGCAGTTTTTGGGTGAGTGAGTGAGATTCCGATCAACATTCCTACTTCCAACTGATAAATCACCATATATTCATTGATCAGTGCAACTGGTGCCTCATGCACACGTATGCATTAAAGAGTTTAACGTTCTTTCGTTTGCGCTACTTGCATGGACCCTAGCTGTATTTACACCATCTCTTCAGCTGCTCGCGATTGTAGGGCAAATTTAGCCACGAGAAAAATTGTGGAAATAATAACCAATACTAAAATATATATCTATAAACAAAACATATTATAACCAACAGGTTATGAGTCTTGATTCTTTATTATATCTTCTTTGTTTGTTCTTAGTACATTGGTACAAGTGTACATATGTATGCACTCAGTGGATACAGGTTGGGTACAGGTAAACTGCAAATAACAAAACGTCCAATGACTCCCAATATCAATCCAACATCTAATCATAATGTATGTGTATAGAATAATTAGTTTAGCTTTACGCCGTTTCCAACAATATTCCAGCAATATCACAGCGTAGGACACCAGAAAGAGGCTACACAATGTGCCAATGTGGGATTCGAACCTGGGTCTATGGCGTGACCATCAAACGCTTCAACCACAAGGCCACCCCACTGACCCCATATGGTATAGGATGCATAAGTATAATGTCTCCAATAAGTCCTACCAAATGCATGTTGTCTTAAATTTCCATCAGCATGAATATTTTGATGCAATGCAATGAAATATTTCCAATCTCAAATATGAATAATATTTACAGCACAACAAAATAGCAACAATGCACCATACCCAAGGTGTTATACCATGGAAGAAATTTTCGCATGTATACAAAAATGCTCCAAAATAAACCCTCCCAAAATATGTGTACTAAAACACAGTATATCAATTCTGCGGTGAAATACCAAATTAATTCTTTACTTTAATGAATAAACACTAGTTTTTAACTTCAAATATTTCTTCAAGTACACGTGGGAACCTAGTCCTACTCAGCATGAAAATTAGACAAAGTTCTTGATTGAAAATTAAATGAATATGTTCTGAACATAGACACTCAAAGAAAGTTAAACAAAACAGTAAATAGTATTATTTACTGACTTTATGCTGTTAGCATTAAAATATCCAGAAGGTTATTCGACCTATGTCCTTGAGTACTGAAAAACGCATGCAGCACGTGCTGCGAATGAATTCAAAGCAAATTTAAATTCCATACAAAACTAAACAAAATAACAGCCTTACCAAAGTAATGATAGAGCATTATATCGCTATACATGGTCCAATGCTGTGAATTGCATATTTACCAATATTCAGGACGTTCTTCCCTCTTTGGCTGCCAACTTTCATCTCTGACCATGCGGTCGCGTTCCCATATATAAGACTAATAATTACCTCCCTTTGTTATATACAAAAATTCGACTCACATCCGAAACTCGGAGCCGTATTTACAAACAAAACAGAAAAACAAACGGAATAAGATTTAACATAACATTGTTTGGTCTTTGACCACTACAAGTTCTAAACGAGGTGTAACCACCTCCGTGGTGTAGTGTTAGAGCGTCCGCCCGAGAGCGGAAGGTCAGTGGAGTTTCGATCCCCGACCGCGTCATACCAAAGATGGTACTTGTTGGTCCCTGCCAGGCGCTCGGCATTAATGGGTACAACAAGGACTTGTCGGCTCGGAGTCAGTATAATGTGTCTGAGTAGGGTATTCATGCTTCACTGCTTTGTGGTGGTGTCTCAGTGGGCTAGCACCTATAAAACCAGCTTAAGTCTGGGCTAGTACAAGCAGCCGCACGTACACATGCACACTCGTATGCACGTCGTCATATGAGCGAAGACTATGTACTCGAAGATACATCCAGAAACTAGCGTTTATCTGTAAGATGGTTCATAATTTAACTCCTAAAATATCTGAGCGATCTCGTCCTCCTAAGGTATCTGACACAACAAGCTACATTTTCTGAGACTGTTTGAAGCTCCAAACTATCGATAGTAAAAAGTGCAAATTATGCTAAATCATTTCTCCCAGATACAGTAAGATTGTGGAATTGTTTGTCTTCACCGATTATAGAGAAACGGCTACTTTGGGTAGTTTTAAGAAACAGATTAATGGGTCAAATAATAATAGTCAAAATTACTACAACATTCTGTCAGATTATCCATTCACGCCTTCAGGCTCGGTTGCAGCAGGATTTAAACGCACATAAATATCAACGATTTATATCTTCAAATCCCTCTTGTTCTTGGTGGCTATTGTTACGAAGATCCAATTCACTATTTCTTTCTAAAAGTGCGATTAATTAATTCTGACATAAGACATAAAATGCAATTCTATACTAAAGGATAAAGGACATCAAATCAATACGAAACGGCCACTTTAATGGATCTACTAAAGGTAATCTTGAATTATTAGAATCTATCCATTCTTTCATTGTACTGTCAGGCAGATTTGTGTTGTAATAGTAAAACGAAATTGCACTCAATACTGTTAAATATTTTCCGACACTAATGGCTCTAACGTTAAAAGCGGCTATATTTCACAGTTTATAATTGTTACATTTCCAGAAAGCTATTGTTTTATCGTT